GCATATACTGACTTGGAGCAGTCTGTGTGGGAATCCCCGCCATTGCCGGTCACCCCATGGGTGACAAAACCAGACGGCAGGCTGTCCCACTCATCAAAGGCCACGCCAGTGCCCAGCGAGTAGGTGCCTGCAGCACACTTCTGGCACTGCTGCGACTGCATGTCAAGGAACTCCCCCTCACTACAGGAGAAGGCTGTGAGAGGAAAAGAAAGAAAGAGGCCACAGAGGAAAAGTATCATGAAGCTGTGGACAACATGGCAAAAAACTGAGAGAGGATAAAGTGTGGTGACAATATTTACTCATTAAAAGTCCAGTGTGTGAGATTAATTAGCCTCTAGAGGTGAGGTTGCAGAACTGAAACTTCTCCCATGAGTCAAACGTGTAACTACGATGGAAGATGCAAAAACATGAATGACCCAATCTAAAGCCATGTGTGTTTGGTTTGTCTGTTCTGAACAACTGTGGAAACAACATGGCGGATTCCCTGGAAGAGGACCCACTCCATATGTAGGTATTAAAGGCTCATTCTAAGGTAACGACAACACTATGACTCTTATGATCATATACCATTTCTGCCAATAGATGCCCCTAAATCCTACACACTGGACCTTTAAAGCTGTGATACAGATTGAGGGTGTGGATAAAATGAGATATAAGAGTCGGACACTTACTGCACTGTGTCCCTTTAACTGGATCGGGGAGGCCTGTGCATATGTCAGCTTTGTTGGGAACCGCCACTCTCCATCGTGACCCGAGTACGTCACACTCTGTGTACTCAAAGTGATAATCTGACTGCAGAGACAAAACACAGGTGTTAGTTTCACACAGCTGGATAAAAACACACTATATGCACATCATACATACAAGAAGTACATGACATAGATTTTATTGATACACAAAGATGCAAGTCAATATGCAGGTAAGGCTGCCTGATATTAGGAAAACTATGACTACACAATTTTCTCTAATGTTTCCTTTTTAACATTTGTGGACTGAAATGTCTCAACAACCATTACACAGATTGTAGTTACATTTTGTGCAAACATTCATGGTTCCTAGTGGATGAATCCTAATGATTTTGGTAATCCTCTGAGTTTTCCGACACTGCACACCTCAGCTGCACGATATGCAGAAAATATGCTATAATACAGTGTACTCTGTTCTGCCTTTCTGCTGCTTAACATATACTGATAAAATACAACAAGTTGCTTGTTTAGTTGGAAAAATGAAAGGAAATTATTATTTTATTGAACAAACTGAACTGACCAGAAAAGAAACCAATAGAAAAGAATGATTGTTGCATTTTAAAGTTTAGCTTTGTCACTGGCTTTGTCAGCCAGTTGTTGGAATGAAGCCTTTGTCATTGCAATGATGATGGAAAAGAGGACATGTTGTGCAGCCCAACATGCTAGTGTTGTCAAAAATAATGATTTATCGCTACATATTGATTCTGAACATCTAAAATGATTTCAATATTCTTTTTTTTTTGCAATATCGATGTACTGATATCAACAACGCCTTCTTGCTTTCTCTTATTGTCAGTGTTTGCTACAGTCTGCTGTTCTCTGCTACTAACCAAGAAAAGTCATCAGTGTCATGTTATGGCCTTGTTATATCTATGCTTAGTAAACACATGTTTATTGATTAACAAGTTAAACATATACAACCCCACCCCACCAAGTTAGAACATATGACATTTATAAAAAAAAAATAATAGTTAACAAAATAATAATCATAGTAATTGTAAAAAACTAAAAATTATTATTATCATTATTATTATTACTAATGATAATACAGTAATAAAAATTATAATAATACTGCTGTAAAACAAAAAACATATAATTTAAGCACACATTTAAGACTGGGTACAGCAGACTATCCTCATCCTTTATCTAAGCCTTACATTTTCATAGCATCTTCATTGTCACCATTATTTACAAATTCCAAAAACATTTCACAAATATCAAAAAACTCTGCAGCCCTATTTCTCACTATAAAGGTGAGTTTTTCAAGCGCTAAACTCACTGTTAAATCCGTCAACCACCAGCCAAGAGAGGGTCAACACACATTCTTCCAGCAGAGCCTAACTGAGCTATGTAACAAACATAATTCAACCATCATCTTCTCTTTCCTAGGCAGGATAAAACAGTCTGGAAACATGTCTAACAGGCAGAACCCAGGACTTAAGGTATTGGGGATGAGGTCATCTGAGACACAAACTGTAGCACCGACCTCCAGAATTTTGATCTCAACACACTCTCATAAGCAGTGATACAAGGTCCCTTGATGTGTGTTGCACTTATAGAATTGGTCGTGAATATTCTGTTTTTGTAAAAATATATTTTATGCCCTCAATGTCCATTTTCACCATGGTAACAAAAATAGTAATGCCAATCAATATTTTTCAATGTATTGTATCTACATTATAAATTCCAGTAGTGTGACAACACTGCTACATGTGAACAGAAAATAGAGCTGCTATTAAATTAGGCCACCAGATTGTTTTATACCTCTGGAATTTCTGTTCCCAAACCAGACAAGCCTCTTTTCCAAATAAAAGTCACGGCTAATATTTGCCCAGGAGGCCGTCTCAACTCTTGTTTTAATCTCACTCATCAAGGATGTGCTCCAACTCTGCACCGGTTTAACTCCCTTCAGGGTTTATTTACTCAGCCAGGGGGGGACAAATGCTGATTCATCCGATCCTTTTGTAAACATGTAATTTTCAGAGTTGTCACAGGACTTTGGAGACAGCAGGAGCTCAGGTGCAAAGCTTTTGTTGTATTTGTCTGTCGTGCTTTGATGCCTTCTGGAGATACTGACAGTAGGTGACTGACAAACACTGCTCCACCCGCACTGATGTAATTTGGGATGTAACATAATGTTATCTTGTTAATCTAACATCTTCCGAAACGAGGCAAGAGCAAGCACACGGAGTAATCTTGGTCAACAGCAGGCTGTTATATTCCAAGGAAAATCAGACTAATCTGAGCCCACACTCAGCCCTTTGGGATTAATAGTTAACAGAAACAGAGCAGCAGCAGCAGCAGCAGCAGCTGCAGCAGCACTACTCTAGGTCTGTGTTTTCAATTAGAGCTGCAACATTAGCTGTGGTTAGGGTGTCAGATGATGAACGTGTGTTTGGGTGGGAGGACGTGATGTAAAAATGCATCAAACTGGGGATGTGCTGGAGCTGAATCGCCTCCTTTAAACAAACATGAGGGAACCAAGGCAACAGGACATAATGACCACTGAGCCTCGTGGTCAATAGACTGGCATGGAAACAAACTCACCTCCTTCCCCAAATCATCATCACCTATAAGCCCAACAGACTCAAATTACAAGACCACACATCCCTTGTGCTAACTTTTCCCTTCTCTGGTATCTTAACTCTACACACGGTGTGGTAATGTTCAACATATGCTGATAAAAAAGAAATGTTTTAAGTGTTATCAAACTGTACTGGTGTTATGCAAATAGGAAACATGTAGCCTATAAAAGGGCGAGGAGCAGAAGACGTAACATATGGAAGTTCTAGTAAACACTGAAGCAAGCACTTCAAGCACTTGTTAGTAACATATGTTCATTTCCCACTCACAATACGTGAAGGAGGCCAACATTAGTCTTACTAAAATCAACACTGTTGGATTGTGCCAATTTAAATGTGCCATCAGAAAACGCTTCATGTCTATTTTCTTTATTATGTGTTGAATTTTAAAGCCTAAAGTCAAACATAGCACTTGAGGAGGGTTTCTTGCATATTCAAACATATGTTAAACTGGGTGAAGCAGGTCAGCCATCTTTTAAAATGTTCAGAAAGTTACATGTGTCACACCTCAGAGCAACAATTTCATATTTTGCTGGATTTAAATTAATTCTGTCAACTCCTCATCCATAAGAAATGAAACATTAATATGTACATCAAACTGTTATAGTTCGATCAACTGACACTGACATCAACTGACACCTAATTTCAGCTTTGGATGGGTTGTTATTCATGAGGTAGAAAAGGCTACTTAATAAAAATAAAATGAATGTCCTCACCTCTTTGCACATGGGCAGCTCCGCAGAGGCTTGTGCAAAAAGCAGCCCCAGTAAAAGGTGTCTCAGGTGCATCGTCGCCTCCTGTCAGTGCTGAAGTGATGGGGACGGAGGAGCAGAAGGTTGACCTGCGCCCTCAGGTGCTGCCCGCCCGGCGGCTGGGGGCGGGGCTTCACTCTGAACGGTGAGCAAATACTGGGAGGTGATTGGCTGTTCTTACTCTGAATCATCGTTTAATGTCTGACTGTTGAATCACATGAGGCTGAGATGTATTTTACCTGCCGTCTGCTAGCATTTTAGGACATTTACTGTAGAAGTGAGTCTTTTCCGGTAGGCTGTTCAAGAAAATAGTTAGTATTTTTAGCGACCGACGGCTAAAGTAAAAAAAAACAAAAAAAACAAACAAACAAAAAAAAAAACAACGACGTATTTATTTCAAGGTAGCAAGTCAATTCGACATTTTTACAAAAATATATAGCAATTAAATGCCTGCGAATAATTTGTAAACATTTTTTTTTAGACTTTTTTTTTTTATTATTGAACACACAATAGAACAAAAAACATAGAGAAACATACATGTTCTCGTAAGGACTATACATTTTTTGTACAGTGAAAAGTTGTGAAATTGCAAAAGAGTCGCAAAGAAAAAATACAAATAAAAACAAAAAAAACAAAACTGGGGTTTTTATAAAGTGCAAGTACAACAAAAACAGTAGCACGTCATTTTATAGATCACCAGGCATACAATTAAAATAACAAAGACCCTAGAGAGGAGCAAAGTCTAAGGCATAAATCAAATAAGCAAGAAACGAGATATATCTCCACAGATCTTTCTGGCTAGGCCTATATTTGTAAACATTTTTGACCCACAGCACGTGGTAAAAGGGAAATATCCGCCAACAGTCGTTTTCTTTTGAAAGGGTTTAACCGGAAGTTTGTGGTTGCCTAGAAACCAGGCTGTGAACATTCTAGTCCGGTTCTTCATTAACCAGAATAGAGGCTAACAATTGTAAATAAATTATGTTTTTCGTCTGCTGAGCTTCGTGTTGTCAGTAAATATGTCAAGCCGGGATCCTTTCCCCTCCAAAAAGTTTGAGAACAACTTCAGTCTGAGCAGCTTCCGGCTCCAGCAGGTGGGTTTAATGATTAAAACTTAATATCTGTGTGGTGTCCGTGTTACTTAGCTTAACAAAATATAATAATATAATTATTTTCTCTATTTAAGCAGTCTACAAGGGTCAGATGTCCAACATACTGTTAACCAGTGATACTCAACTTGCGTCCTTTGGGCCAAATCTGGCCCCTGGTAGGCAGCTGGTTGGCCCCACAACCATTTTCTAATTCACAATACAAATAAATTGATTCACACTGGGATTTTTTTTATTTTATTTTATACTTCTAATATAACTACGGTGCTTGAGTACATACAAAAGTATCAAAATAGAGCTTGTTTATCAAAGAAGGTTCCTTCCATGCCCTTAATGTCCTTAATTCCTAGAAACACCCCTGCGTTCACCCGATCTGTGTGGGACTGCTGTGACTGGCCCCTGGCCTCCTGTCATTATGCAAAAGTGGCCCCAGGGCAAAGCAAGTTTTTTTTTTACATCAACATTATTAAAGTTACTAAATTTTGTGTTTTCTTGTCAGTTTGATACTGGGAATTAGTTACATGGCCTTATTAACCCTCAGGCAAAAATATGCTGATGAGCTCTAACTAACCCCCTGCTAAAATATTACATGGCCCGTGGTTAACTGTGTGATATTTTACTTTAACACAAATGAGTTTAGAATCGTAAACATGTAAGCACAAAACTGAAATAATTAAGGTTTTAAAACTGGATCTTGACACAGGAACTCACTTCAAAACAGGGCCTTAAAAGAATACCTCACCCACAAAATGACCATTTGTTTATCAGTTAGTTACTCTAAATTCACCAAGAAAACTTTGTGTTTCTTGCATGCCTCCATGGAAAATGGTGAATGTACTGATTTACTGATTGAATAGGGACTGTATTTACCTACAGCAAAACCATATGAAAACATCTGTTTGCAAACTGTCACACAACTGCAGTACAATCAAAGTCTCATTTATCCAGTCATGTGCTCAGGACTTCCCAAACATGTGCATTTTTACAAAAAAAATACAACTTAGTATTTAAAACTGAACTAAGAGTAAATTTGTCTATGCTCTCATCTATGCTCTCATCAAAGCCAGGTTTTTAGTGAAAATACATGTGTTTGGGAAGTACTGAACACACGACTGGATAAATGAAACTTTGATTATACTGCACGAGTTGTATGAGAGTTTGTAAAATTGATGTTTCGATAGAGTTATGCTGCTGTTAAATGTGGTCCCCAATCAACAAATCAATATGTTGACAAACTATATATGACAAAATAATTTTTCCTCACAAATACATGGCAACACGGCATGACTAACTGATATAAAAAGTCAATTTTTGGGTGAAGTGCTCCTTTAAGATCATTTAATTAATCTGGTCCAGTTGCAAGGCTCTTATCATATCAATTGAAACTGTGCCTTAGTTGTGCATATTCTAATAACATATCCCCAAAGTTGTATTTAAATCATCACAAACCGGTTGCCAACAGGACCTTGCCCAGTTTATATCTGGGCAAAGTATACCTTGGGAAATCAAATGATGGTGTTCAAACAGCACTTAGCAAATGGAAGAAAGTATCTAAATGTAAATATACAGAGTATGTACATGGTTAGCCTTGTATATCCTGTCCCCTATACAGTCACAAAAACTCATTTCTCCGAGGTTCTCATTTAAGCAAACTATATTTCCAAGCATTTTAAATTTTTCAAGAAACATTAATATTTCTGAAGTGTTTTTGTTCACTATAGGTTATAGCTAAAGCAACATGCTTGTTTGACATGTTTGAGCTCAGTCATTGTTTGCTTATTATGTGGATTTCAGTAATTAAAGGGAATTAACATCTGTGGTAAATAAAATCTGAAATATGTCAGTCAGGGTCTTCAAATCATTTGAACTGTAATTTTCATCACAACAGATATAATTTCTTTGTAAGTTTGTCATTAATTTTTCCCCTTTCCCACTGTGCAGAGGAAAACATATGATAAACCAACTCACCTCGCCCAAACAGAGGAACCCTGGAGTCGCCTCCATGATACAGCCACTTTGTCCAGCTCTCGGCGGAGTGTTATGCATTATGAGCATCAGGTAAAATCCATTGCTGTGACCTTCACTTATGAAACCAGAAAGATATTTCAAGGTCAATACTTTGTATGCACCACTCTTTTTTTCAACATCAGGCTCCAAACGACAGCCTCGACTTCCACCTGAAGTCCGTCTACGATCACCACAAGGACTTCTTCTTGGGAAAGAACCAGATATTATACCAGAAGGAGACCGTCACTGAGGATCACAGGTGGGTGTTTGTGAATTTAGGTTTGTGGCCTGGCACAGTACAACTACACTGTTATAGTGGCATCTCAGGAGTCTAATTCAACCGTGTTAATCATTTTAAATGTTAACTTACAGGAAGGAGGAAAACTCAAAGCAGGACATGCTGGAAAAGGAACAAGAGACAGATATCAGAGTGTGGGTCGATCCACAGAGGCGCTCCATTTACAGCATTAAGTGAAGCACAGGTGACGTTTACTTATATTATAAACCCTAATAACTGCAGCAGGTGCGTGTGTGGAGAAACTAACATGAAGAAACCATGAACTTCTGATTTAAGTCCCAGAGTCTGACTCCAGCGTACCCCCACTAAAGTTTTTGGGAGAATCTGGGTATGTGTGGAGTAAGGTGGGTCCAAAATAACAATACGTCCTTTTTCCTCTCCACAGGGCTTGACCAGAGAGAATGATGGCAGCCTCTATTCAACACTACTACTGTCTCTGCTGCCAACATGAGAGCCCCGTAAATAAAGGAGTTCTTTCAGTGATTTTTTTGTCCTGCTTGTGTTTATACAAATGCTGTGGAAAACAAATACAGTGAAAAAAGAGATGCCTTTACACTGATGGTGTCAAGAATACAAATGAGGGAAGGTCAGATGTGAACATTCTAAATAAAGTTAACATAGCCATTTAGCACAGAAACAGCAGTATTTTATTAAAATATAAAAACGTTAACTGATGAGGAAGAGATGAAACAGTTGCACATACAGTATTTTGCTTTCTCAAAAGTGGTTCTGCATTAATAGAAAAAATGTCTACCGCATCTGGACATAGTGTGGGGCTTGTCAAAGACTCTTTCCAAGGTCCATACAGCATATTCTGTCTGAAATAAAACAGCTGAACACAAAATATTTATAATAAATGATAAACGTCAGTTGAATTTTTACAGTTGTAGAACTGGAACTCGTTGAACTGGAAACTAATTTGCTTAGGTCAGGACAGGTCGGACGGTAGGTTCAAGCCCTGGCTTTTCGTCGGAGACACCGTTTGATGAAAGCCTTCTCGTCCCATTCGTTGGGAGGAAGCATTTGACCACCGTTGTGGACGCAGAGGACGGTCATCTCCTCAGCGTACTTGAGATTCTGCAGCAACTGAGGAAAAATACAACAGGCGCAAAGGTTGAGGAAAGTTGAGGGGTGACATTATAATACAGCAGATACACACATTGACACAAAACATGTTAAACCAATTATTACCGATGTTAACAGATTATTTTAACCACCCAGGGACAGCAGAAACAAGCCGAGAACACAAGACTGACATATCATCACCTTTTAAATTTATGAATATGTATATAGCAAACAGCTGCTTATTTACAAATTCAGCAGAACCACACTTGGCATTACCATATATACAGAGTCATGTTTCTGGTCACTTGGTGACTGTAAGTCAATTCCTGAGGAATAGATCTGACTCTTCAGCTGCTAAATGCTGTGCTATATTCATCAGCTGGTCGCTAAATTTGTTCCTTGGTGCAGAGTAGATAGTTTACAGTGGGTTATTAGAATAGCTGAAAACAACGATAATAAGAGCAGTGAGAGTGAAACAAAACAGAAAAGTGGAAGGTCATAAAACCAAAACAATGAGCTGAAAGATGTTAAAACATTCTGTAGAGCTGAGGGGAACTGGAGAGTTGGGTGATAATGTTGTATCCCTCTCTATCTCTCAGTAGCCATGTGATCCATTGTTAATATAAAAATACCAATTATAGCCACTCAAGCAGAATGCACAGCAGATGTACACAAACACACTCAGTGAGATCATCAGAAGGTACAAACACTCACTTTGGGAGTTATGAAGAAGTACTGGGATGTCGTCTCTTTGCAGGCTGTGCGGACCACAATGTCAAAGACTCTTCTCTCATTTACAGGATCCATTCCCTACACATAAGGGAGAAACAGTCTCAGTCACATCCACATACGCAAGCAGGCGTATATCAGGAGTATATCAACTTCACCTGTGTGTGTTAATGGTTTGCGTATGTGTAGAAAAAGTGACAAAAAAGCTGCTTTGCCAGCAACTTAAATAAGTGAAGAGAAAGGTCAATTTGTTAAATCATTAACAAACATGCAAAATCTTCAGAGGACAGAACAAATGGGTCTGGAACATGCTTTATCCCTGCATGTTTCAAGGCCTTTACACACCAGGGTTTTTTTTTGTTGTTGTTTTTTTTGATGGGACTAATTCACAAGTCACAAGAATATACTTTAACACAGAATGTGAATATTACGTGGCACAAAAGCAACAGAATTCTTTTCAGAGCAATGTACTGCTGCTGATATGAATAGTTTTGATGTAATATTTGCAGGCGAGTATTTCCCATTTTCATGTCATTAATTCGTCACACCCCGGTGTTTAAAGGCCTTTAGTCTGTTTTATTATCTGAAGATGTGCTGCATTATTACCCCATTAATACCTAAATCTGGTGAAATGTTAGAACATGGGTTCAGGATCCAGTGATTAATTGCTGGTGTAGGTTGGACCCTAGAGCACCACGTCATGGCCAATTATAAAGCGTTTAAATTTTGGCTCATGAATCCTAAAATGTGAGACTAAGAACCCTTTTTCCTGGACTCACTGTATGTCTGCTTCTTCTGCAGCTCTGTTTTAATGTACATGTTCTCACAGAAGAAAAGCTGTTACGACTGTGTGTGTTTAAGTGTGTGAGTGTGACTACCTGGTTGATCTCATCCACCACTCTGAAGGGGCAGCGATTGAGCTCCTGCAGGGCCATGAGGTAGAGCATTGTGGAGACGCTGCGCTCTCCTCCGCTCTGATGGTGGGCAGTCAGCTCGTGGAGCTGAGTGCTGCTGTGGAACTTCACTCGAATTCGGATCCCATATTTGTCATACTCTTCCTGCAATGACAGACAGCATTTAATGGGGGGAAAATTCTAATTGTTACAAATACCAACATCTTATGTGAATGATTAATTATGAGCAATACTCATCGCTTACATAAAATACAGGAAACGACCACTGAAACTGCACTTTGTCCCCGAGATGTCAGCGTGTGTTTTGTTCCCTGCGTGTGAGCATTTACCTCATTCTCTGAGTGCAGATCGACCTCTCCTGCACACTGCATGGAGCGGAAGAAATCACTGAACTTGTCATTGATCTGTTCCACCAGCTGCTTCAGCGGGTTCAGCCAGCGCTCCTTCGCCTGTGAGACACACACACACAGATCATGTTATCAAGGATGGCCTGCTGTCATAAAAGAAATCACAGAAAGAACCACATTTCTTAACAAAAAAAAATCACTCAAGGATCACTGCAGCGACAGATCATGTACCTCAGATATGTTCTGCCGGTAGGCGTTCAAGGCGTTGGTCTTCTCTTCCAGCTCTTTCTCCAGATGTTTGATCTCCTGCTCTCTCCTGTTGTACTCCTCGACAACCTTTGAAGAGAAGGAGAGAATTAACGAGGGTACATGACAAGATGTATTCACACTCAAAATTTATGTCCAAAAATAAAACAATAAATACACTGCTAAGAAGAAATTAATAAATTACAATAAAACAGCACTTTCCTACAAAAGGCTGTTTCTAGTGAACTCTAATATTTAAAAAAAAAAAAAAAAGGACAACACAGATGGTTTGAAATCTATCTAATTCCTGAGTTTGCTTTCTGAGAATAAAGTTATGATTATACAGAAATAATTTCAGCTGATTCTCATGTGTTCTTACACTTTCACTGAGGCCAGTGAAGCACTCAGCTCTGGACCGCTCCTCATTCAGCATGGCATCGATCTCGTCCAGCGTGTCAGGCAGTTTGCTGAATGCCTGCGTCCATGAAAAATAAGAACCGTGAACATTTGATTAATTAATATTACTAACATTTTGTGTTCAAAAACCTCCACAGCAGTAACTGGAACACATGAGAAGGATAGTTTTATTTAGCAACATAACAAACAGTGATAAAGACTAACATTACGCAGGTCTTCAGGTAATGACTCATCAGGTTGCATCCTGCAGATCGTTTTTGCTCTCTTCAGAAGGCCTTTGCATTGTTCTGTCAGCTGGATCTTCCTCTGCTCCAGACGGCCGCATTTTTGCTGCAAGAACATATGTGATGCAGAACAAGGAGTAGATCATGACATACAGGAGTTAATATCACGAACAGTCCACCAGGATAGATGTATATAAAGGTGTGTGTGTTACGCTTACATCGAGGGTCTTGAGTTCAGAAGCACCTTCTCGACAATCATTCTCCAGCTTGGCCTTCTCAGCTGTCAACCCCACCGTCTCCAAAGCCAGGTGCACCTTCTCCATGGTCAGCTTGGCTCTCAGCTACAGACGATGGAGAGACAAGGGAAATGGAGGGCGCAAGGAAAGTCAGCAAAATGGCAGAGGCAGATTATAAAGGACAGGTGTGCACTTTTAAATGTTAAATGTCTCCCCTTTTGTAATGGCCGCAAAAAGTGTTTATGCAGAACATTATGATGACCTTTGACCTTTTGGATATAAAATGTCATTACTACATCATTTTATCCTATGAGACATTTGTGTAAAATTTTGTCATAATTAGCTTATGAATTCTTGAGTTATGGCCAACAACCGTTTTTGTGGAGTCACAGTGACCTTTGACCAAGGAGGGACGGACAGACGGACGGACATAATGCCTCCAGTCATGGCTTCCACCAGTGCTGAGGCATAAAAATCTTCTCTAAATATCATCCTACCACAGCTATCAAATCTAAAACAGTTATGGTTCAAAGTCTTCATGTATCCGTACCTTCATTTGGGCCATGAACGCTGCGACTATGGACACCTTCTGGGCATTAACAGCTGCGATTTTTTCTTTAGTCTCCTCTTCAATCTTCTTCAGGTCAATAACACTCCGCTCCATCTGCCTCAGACTAAACACATGGGAAGAGGAAGTTAGACCAATTAAGATATATTTGCATTAATCAATCTAACACAACTCTACAGAGAAAATTTGCTAAAAGTATTTCAGACAGACTTGCCTGTCCTGTTTGGTGCTGATTTTCTGCTCCAGTTGCCTCTTTTTGCCCTTTACTTCAGACAGGTGCTTCTTCTCTGCCAACAGTTCATTATCACGGCGATCCAGTGCAGCGGCCTCTGCCTGCAGGGCCTTCAGCCGCTCGTCGATGTCTCGTAACTTCACCTCACAGGCCTAGTCACAGAGGGGTTAACAGTTAAACTCTAACATGTTAGATGTTTCAAGGTATACTCGAAGGAGCACCAGATTTATGAAATGCTGCAGTTAAAAAAAGGAAAGGGCTATGCCTCTCTCCCTCACCTTCATCTGCTGCTCCAGCTGCCGTTTCTGTTCGGCGTCCACAGTGATGGTGAGGTACTGGGAAGGGTGAACTGCGGAGTTACTGGTGCTGATCTTGTTGGAGTAATGGGACCTCTTTAATGTGTACCTCTCCTCTGTTGTGTATAACACCCTGAGGTAGGGCTCCTCAATCACCTGTGAGAGAGAAAATGACAGATGAAGATCGAGGTCAGCAGTAGCGCCTTTT